GATTTAACTGGAAACCGAATCTTTACTGATTCGATGTTTATGTTTATTCATCGCTTAGAACTAATAATTGCGTATTTTTTTAAGTTCAAATTTAATCCTTATAAAAAAATTCATAAGGATTTTACACATAATAATCACATTGCCCAATTTAAAGTTGGAAAATTTACAAATAAATCCCAAGTCCCAATTTTCACCATAAAATTGTATTTTAATTTATTCTTCTTTATCCCAACATTATATAAACATCAAAACCAGATTAGTGATATTATTAAATTTCAGAATATTTATTTGAATTCTATGATGCATACTTGTCATTATTTTCCCAGTTTCGCTTTGACAAGAATAATAGATTCGATAAATTATTTTAGTCATCTATTTCACAAAGTCGCATTGGACAAAAGTTCACTGCAGAACAAATCTTTTGAAGATAAAATTAAAAAAAGAGCAAAAATATACTCTATTCGATTTTATAAAGCTATTTTGCCAACCCCAAATGAGAACCTTATAAATTTGCGACATAATGATGACTCTTCTTCAGTTATAGAAAATATAAATCAATCCTTGCAAAAAACAAAAACAAATGACTCATCTGGTTTATTTAATAACACTATTAACACCAAAAATTCAGATGCAGTTGTCGAATCGAATGATTATATATTCTATAAAGAAGTAAAATACACCATTGATGAATTTCTCGAAAATATGCAAAAAGAAATAAATTTCCTATATAAAAACAATCGCGAGTTAGATGATTATTTGTCCCACGAACATGAAAATATAGATGAAAGTATTCGTGCTCTATGACGAAATATAGAAGATATAAATTATGGAAGGGACTATAATATTTATGGTAGTGTCCGTTTTATTGATGGGGTTCGTGCAGATGCTTCTCATCAAAATCTTTGTCGAAATTTATTTAGTTTTCAAATTAGAGCCGTATATAGTAACTTAGTAAAAAGTTGATAGAAATTATGAATCGTTTAATTAATTTAATTAATTAAAAAATTACTTTTTTTAACTTGGTGCGAATTTAATTAGCCAAACGTT